CCTGCCACTTCTTAACTGGTGTTCTTTGCACAGCGTGCCTGCCTTCAGGCCTTCTGTGCCTGCGTTCCCTTTGCTGCTTGGATAGAGAAAGTGCTGAGGTCTGCTGTCAATGTGCGCGGCTGCCCTGCTCTCACTGTGGCAGGGTGGTGTTGATTTATCTCTTAATACACGAGATAATTCCAGGTCTGTATGTTATGATACAACTAGATGTCTCATTTTTTTCACTTTTTTCTTTTTTTCCAAATAGTAGCAATAATTCTATCTCAGAAGGTCAAAAGTGGTGACCTAGGCTGGCTATTTTAAAACCTAATTTAGGGGGAAAATGAGCTATGAAAGAAATAACATTGGGAAAAGGTAGATCATTTAAGTGATAATCTTTACTGTACCTTTTAGAATTAGCTTCCCATTCACAGTTCTGAGCAGCATTTAATTGTACCAGTTATTGTAGTCTTTTCATCAAATGATCATTTTAAATGACTTACAGTACAAAGACTTTCTCACTGTGGCTTTGCAAAGCTTTATTTATTTATTTATTTATTTATTTATTTATTAATCCTGCACAAGCATAGATAAGGCCAAAAACGGACAACTTGCTTGTGCAGAATATCCATCTTTGCCTTTAAAATTTTTTTTGGTCTATCTAGCAATTCTTTTTTTCATTTGGGAATCACCTGAACTTCTCTCCTCATGCTATTCCCAAGAAGAAAAATGCCTTTATAAACAATATCCAGAGATCCTTTCTCTTGTGATATTAAAGGGGGGGCTTCTTCCTGTCCTTGCACCTGCTCCCTCATCCTGCCCCTCCATCTCCCTTGCTCCCCCCTGCCTCTCCCTCTGCTCTGGAGGAAGGGGTGGAATGTAGACATCCAGCTTGCCTCTTGCTTCCCTAAAGGTTTCAGCCAGCCCCTCAGCAACAGCCTCCCCACCATCCTCTCATGACTTAATCACAGAATCATAGAATCATAGAATAGTTTGGTTGGAGAAGACCATTACGATCATCTAGTCGAACCATAAACCTAGCATTACCAAGTTTACCACTAACCCATGTCCCCAAGAACCACATTTACACGTCCTTTAAATACCTCCAGGGATGGTGACTCCACCACTTCTCTGGGCAGCCTGTTCCAGTACTTGACAACCCAATCTATCTGGAATGTGACTGTGCAAAACACACACACGGTGTGGGTTAAGGGGATAAGATGCTGTCTCCCATTTTTATTCTGCTGTACCCCAACTGGAAGAATCTGTTAATTCCCCCTCTGCTATGATTCGATCAGTGCTTGGAGCTTGAATTCAGCCGAGTGCTACACTCGGGTGCCCATGAATCCCTTGACACCAGATGTCTTGGCAGAGCTGCTGTGAAGGTTTGTCTTTGCCACGGGGTGCAGCCTTCTCCCCAAATGACACTTTACTCTGATTTTTCTCAGCTAGTGACGGGAGTATGGGAAGGAGGATACAATTTCTTCTGTCAGGATACGCACAGTGGAGGAGAAGCTGATATGAAGGTAACTTAATCGAGACTTATAGCTAGTAACATTTCAAATTGTCTGCTTGTGTGTAAGTGGGGAGCAGAACAGTATTGATGATGTGGATTTTGTTCAAACTATATGCATTTTTTTCTCCTTTTACAATACAATGGACAATGCATTGTCAAATGTAATAGTTAATCTAAATATGTATTCGTGGTTGGTATTTTGGTGAGTGATTATCTGTAAATTTTAAAGCATTCCCAGGTCAAAAAACAAGGACTTGGTCTTCAGACTGTATCCAACCACTGTGTGTTGTGACTCCCCTTCTCTTGCTGAGAAGTGTTGATGATTTCTTCTAGTCACTGTTCAGACCTGTCCTTTACAGAGAGCACCGTGGGACCAGCTCTGGTTAAATATTTTCTTGTTTCTCCCAGGACACCCCAGGTGCACAGCAATAGCCTCATAAAACAGTTTTGTCATCCTTTTTTCAGCTGTAGCTATGGGTTTTTACCTAGATCCTACAGAGAGACTTGAGGCTGAAGCATTACAGAGTACCTCAGCAGTGTCTTCAATCCAAGTAGTGCAGGATAGAATCTGGATTTTAATTACTCAGAAAGCAAAAGGGTTGAAAGCCCCCGCAATGTACAGTGCTTATAAAACTTGTTTCCTCCTTTCTAGGTCATACGTGTCCTCTGGTGGTACTATTTCTCCAAACTTATTGAGTTCATGGATACCTTCTTTTTCATTTTGCGGAAAAATAATCATCAGATCACTGTTCTGCATGTGTACCACCATGCAACGATGCTGAACATTTGGTGGTTTGTTATGAACTGGGTGCCTTGTGGTCACTGTAAGTACTGGGCTACGGTGGGGAACACTTGCAACAAGGGCCTGATTTTGGTTTTCTTTTGGTTAAACCAAACATCTCTGATACCTTCAGCTGAAGGATTTGTTCTGTCCCATATTAAGCTGCTTTGCTGAATTGCAACTATAGCAGATATTTGCAGGTAATTAAGCTGCCTGCAGAGCCTCTAGAATAGGCATGCTGAGGTAGCTTGCAGAATTTACATGGCAGTGTGACATTTATCAGCTGCAATAGTCCAAGTCTGATACCTGTCAACCTTGTTTTCTCTTATTTGCCTCCAAGTCAGGATTAGAAGCTTGTTTCAGCTGCAAGATGACTAACAGTGACTCTTGTATCTGTCAAGTTCACTTGAGATGTTAGTTTCTTAATTTAATCTCATTATACTGGTAGCCATAACAAATGATTTCAATTAAAATCTTGTCCCCTGAGCACTAATGAACTTGACCAAATAGATCTTAAGTGGGAGATTTCCATGTCTTTATTTTCTAAATCCTGCTAGCCGCTGGCTATCTTGCTTTGATTCTTTAATTTCATTGCTGTTAGCTGGCATCTAGTTTCCTAATTGCATTAGTGTTGCTTAGTTCTGGTTCAGATGTGCAGCTTATAGATACTGGCTTTGTTGAACATTCATCCAAGACAAACGTTTTCAAATCCAGTGGATGTGAACTACAGGCAGTGCAGACTGAGAGGCTGGGTTGCTCAGGACTCTGCTTTCTGAGCCAAACAACATAGAAACTCATATTTGTTTTGTGTTTGTCAGCACAACAGCAAGTAATGTTGAACTTATAAAAAGTGTGTATCTGGAACCAGATGGTCCAGATTGACCAGGGAAGTCAATCCTTGTTTATATAACAGTAAAAAAGTGCAGATACTTGGAGTCTATCTTGTGTTTGTGTGTTCTTGAAAATACTTTTGTGCTATTTCTAGTGATGTGTTTTTCTTCTTCCTTTCCAAGCTTTATATTCTGCCTGGTCATCACAGTACTATGCAGTTTGGTGTTAAGCTAAAAGTTCTTTAATGCCTAAAGGTGCTGTAAACAAGGACAAATAAAACAGCTAACTTGCAGTTTCTGGAGATCTGTTGCTTTTGGTTATAAATGACAAAATAGGCTCCTGCCTGAAAGGAAATGAAATAAGCCTTAAAATTAGATGGGTGAGGCTATTGATTGTTGGGCATGTTTACGTGCCTCCTTTTTATCAGCTTCCTCAATTCCCTTGAGAAGCTAGAATGTAGATGTGAAAAAGAATAAATCAAGGAAACAAAACCTGAAGGCTGGTATAAACTGTACAGCTGCGAAGCAGCTCAGCTGCTCCGTTGGGTGAGCAGAATAAAAATCAGAGGGGAAAAAAAAAAGAAATCTCTTGCCTTTCTTCTAAGAAAAAATGTATTTTAAATAGTAACATTTTGAGCTTGTTATTTTTGTAGGTTCCATGAGACAGCATGTTCCTGGTAATGCAGTGTGCTTTCTTTTTCCTTTGCCCTTTTTTTAGCTTACTTTGGTGCCACACTGAACAGCTTTATCCATGTCCTCATGTACTCCTACTACGGATTGTCTGCTGTTCCAGCGATGCGTCCTTATCTGTGGTGGAAGAAGTACATCACTCAGGGGCAGCTGGTGAGTGATTAGCTCTTCAGTGCTTCAGCAGGCTCTTTACTAGTGATGGGCTTCTCTTGTCTTTACTGAGTTAGAAAATTTTGGCAGGGAGTAGAAGAAGAGAGAATGAAGGCTAGTACCTTATACATCTCCAAATGCCTAAATCACCGTAGAAATCCAGCTTCTGCACCTCCATTTCCTCTGTTTTCAGGACGATATGGAGCTGAGGACTGATGGTGTGCACGAATCAGTGCTGAGATCAGTGGCATCTTTCTCCACCTCCCCATGTGTAGCTAGTTGTATTTGTGTGTTGCAGCGCTGGGTTTTCTGAGACTCGCTATCTGGGGATGAGGAAGAAGCTTTTCTTTCAAGCTTACTTGAGCTAACCCGTTCTTCTCTGTGCTTGGTTGCTCAGGCTGATGTTGAGATGACAGACTAGAAACCAAGTGCAACACAGTCCACAGCTAACAAGGCCTTTCATTCTAGTCCTGCGGGACAATGGCTTTACTGTCTCACTTCTGCACGCAGTTGCAAATGGTTTATTAAAAACTGTTCAATATTTCTGGTCTCCTTCTGCACTTTAAATGGGCAGATTTTTTTCTCTTGTAATTCTGTGTTGGGCTCCTTGCATCCATTTGTGTTGTTTCCTGTGTGCACAGCGATGAAGCCCAAATGCTGGGTACTGGAGGTGAAAAGAGGAACAAAATTAAGCAATGTGGCACATGTTGTAGTGATACTGCACAAGAACCAGGTTTCAATGTATGTGACATGTCAGAACACCACAAAGAAACGTGCATGGGTGTTCTGTCTTCCCCATTGTGTAGGAGGGGAAACTGAAGGCCGGAGACAGACTTTTTTATTATCTCTCCCCCACCTCCCAGCCCCCTTAGTACCCTCTCAGAGCTGTGAATAGGTTTAATAACATTTGCTAGTGATGTTTAATAACATTTTCTGCCAGCAATTCAGTGTTGATTCTCAAAATCTTTTCTTTTTTTAGCACTCTTCCTTCTTGAAGGATGGCCAAGTATTGTAGCAGTGGGGATCACTGTTTTTTGGGGTTTGCTTTGTGGTTTGTTGGTTTTTTGGGGTTTTTTTCCTTCCAGGTTTAGGCTCTTCATGCTGGTTGTTTGAGTGCTACAGAGTGCAAGCATTTCAGTGCTTTGGTTATTCCCCTGGCTATTGTCATAGCTGCTTTCACTTCCCTGCCTGCTCTGCATGCATAGCTGTTAGGACAGCAAAATAGCAGAGCAGAACACAACAGTCTTTCCCTTTTAAAATAAACATTCCCTAATCTGGTAGCCTTCATGTAAGGATGAATTTTGCCTAAGGCCTTCTGCAGCACTTAAGCCCAAACTCTGTTTTTCCAAAAGAGATAACTAGAGGTAATTAAACCCCAGTCCTCTTCCTTGCCTCCCCAGCTTCCCTGCAGCTTTTACCCCAAAAACTTTTACACTGGAGCCATATGTCAGGCAGTCCCTGTCTGTGGGAGAGGATCACAGGATCTGTGTGTAGACCCAGTGACCCCAAATCTTTTGCAGCTGAAGCAGTGAGATGCACATCTCGTCTGTCAGGATGGTACAGTCAGACCCCAAAGAGCTCCCTCTAGGAAGGTGGTCTTTGTTCCCTTGTATATTTATAAATCAGTTCTACATAAACTGCTCTAGTGCTCTAAAATGGAACAATATTAATCAAATAAAAGCACTTAAAAAACAGAATGCCACAACCTGAATGTCTGCTAACTCAGGTTTATACTGTTAGTAAGACAGAGAAGATAAACTTGTCAAACACACAGTATTACATATTTTTTACTTGTTTTGGAAATAACTAATGAGATTTTGGTCACTAATGGCTTTTTTCCTTCTTTCATTAATGTGCTCCATTTCTCTTTTTTTTCTTTCTCCCCAGACTCAGTTTGTCCTGACAATCTTCCAGACCAGCTGTGGTGTTGTTTGGCCATGTGCATTTCCTCAGGGATGGCTGTATTTTCAGATTTCTTATATGATTTCTTTGATTATCCTCTTCACAAATTTCTATATTCAGGTAAAAGTAATTTTCATCGACTTTTTTTGTAGCATTCTGCTGGCTGTATCTCATTAGAAAGCTGTTTACAGAAAGATATACTTGAAATAACCTTTTGCTATCTTCCAGTAACATGCCTATGTTCTTAAAGTACTATACTTGTTGATCTGCCCTCCAATTTCCAATCTTCTAACGTTTTGTATCCGTAATTCAGAACATTTAGTAATTTCAGTAAGCAGTCGCACAAAAAGGCGTTTTACTAATGCAATTTTAACTGCAGATAAGGGAGAGGAAGAGCTTTATGTAAGAAACAGCTTTCCAGTCTGAAATAAAACAGCAGCCTGTGAACCTGTGAAGCACCTGAAGTTGTTCATTCC